TTTCACTCCATCTGAGCTATCTCTACACATTGAATATTGCCTTCGACTTAGAGTCCACCAAAGAAGAAAAGGCAGATTTTTTTAACAGGTGTGAGCAAGATGCAACTCAAAATTACTTATCCGTGCGACGGTGTAAGTATTTTGTGCTGTGCAATAATATGTGCATTAATAAATGCATTTGTGTAATAATTTAATTTTTTAATTTAATTTAATTTAATTTTTTAGTATATAAAGGTTGGAGACACATTTTTTCGATCCCTATAAATTGAGCTCTGTCTCAGGTCAGAGCACAGAAGGTATAAACGTCAGTATGAAAGCCATGGCCAATAATTTCATAGAAATTGCAGGGCTTTTGGATCGATTGTAAGATAACGCAAATTCTCTGTCGGCATACATATAAAGAGATCGGCTCTTGTGATCTCGATATTAAAGGCGCGCGACAGCGATCCAATCACTCCGTGGTTCCCTTTGTTGTATTGTCACCCGAACCGACGGAAAATAAACAATACGCCGACTAAAACGTTTGAAGTCCGAGCATATATAAGAGCGAACCGTACGAGCGCAGTCAGTCGATGCACGAAAGACTCACGGACAACAGCCATTCTGTATTAAGTAAAAATAAAGTTTACACGAAACTGCAGTGTGAATATTCATGTTATCCACATTGAACACGAAACAGCTTTTATCCATCTTATCGGCTTTTGCAAGTGGTACAGATATATTGCAGTCTGGCCTTATTCGTGCCTGTCAAGAATACAATATAAAGTTGGAGACAAAGAGATAGAAAAGATTTATTTTCGTCTATATGATATATTCAATTTAACCCGTATTTGATCTCCGGTCGCACGATAACGACGAGCCGGAGGAAAACTAGGCCTAAATTTAAGTTTAAATTTAAGTTTAAATTGTGCAAAACGGTTAAACCAATTTAATATCTTTATGTATGTACAGTCAATTACTAAAAAGTTGCAACGCTTTAATTTTCGTGTACCGATATTGATGATATCGATACGAGACGTTTAATATTTTCACCTACGATGCGTATCGATACGATGTAGACGTCGAGTGGCGATGCGGGCATTGAACGCAAACATTCATTTCGAAATCCTATCCCGAGTCCGGACATCTTGTATGTGAACCGAGTGTAAGTGTGTAACCTTGTCAAAGAACATATTCAGAAAGACGCATTTAATATTGCAGCTACTACCTCCAAAAGATAGCCCAGTTTCTCAGCACGAGCCCCACTTTATTTTGTTAATTTTATTTTTATTTTTAATTTTTTAGGTATAATCAATAGAGAGAAGCCTAAGGAGAAGAAATATTCCTGAAATTTGCCAAAACCTTTATCCGTTCGACTGGAATCGTGGTAAAACCGTGGATTCGACAGTTTTCTTTATTATATTGGGACGCCGTTATTATTGATCTGGGAATGACTTTTAATGAATTTTCTCATTTTATAATGTTATAATTAATACACTTAACAATAAAAGTTTTATATTTATTCGCGGCCTTGTTATAAACAATTAAACATAAGCCAATTTCTGTATTTTTAACCCTCCCTAGTCCCCTTAAATAACGGTAGAACTGGAGACTTGAACCGATTTGGAACTTTAGAGAATGTTTGGTCTCAATAACTTCAGTATAAAATTGTAATTTTTAAGAAATTCCGCTATTAAAAAAAATTTTAAAACCATTTATTTGTCAAAAGTAAGTTACGCTACGCGTACGCTTTACGCTTAAATTTATGATCAGTACTTAACTTTTAGAGGCCGGGAGAAGGACTTGAAGACTTTTTTTTTTTTTTTTACTATTTTTCCCTTATTCAACACACAAATTTTGCCTGAAAACATCAAATAGCTTGTGTTTTTTGGATGGTCGATATTTTGACCACCCCCGGCCTCTAAAGGTTAATATAATGTAACGTGGACATTCTTGTGTCGAGGTTTTTCATCATCGGCCTAATCGTCATTTGTAGATATAAACATTTGTAATTAAAATAAATTAATGTGACTTATATAAAATTAAACTGATATCACTAATCAATTCAATAGAAATCACATTATAATATCGAATAATAATAATCAGCGAATGGTAAAAGTAAAAACAGAATGTAACTAAAAAATTAATATTAGGCCGATAATTTATTCAATAAGAAAGAATGTCATATTCATTATCGTGTTCTGCATGCATATTAATTTCTTATATTTAATTTTTAAAGTTTTTTTAAAATTTACTATCGCGACAGAAGTGTAATAAATCTGATTTTTTTTTTACTTTTTCTAATTCACAAATATGTATCTTATATAGAGTACTCTCTCTCCTCTCTTGAACTGTTTGCAGCTCTGATTCTAACACCGTACCACGGTGACCAATTTATAACACTTCTGCTTCAGTTTTTACATGAAGCATACCGGAATTAAAGAATTAACAGATAAAAAAATCATATCAAATAGATGACGTTATAGTAATAAATATTATGAGACATATTAAGTTTAAATTCTTCAATAGGTATACTTCAATAAGTATATCAGAAACGGAGTTAGATTGATTGGTACTTCACCATATCGATGATAAAACTTGTATTTTGATTGCAGCCGAGATAACCGATGAAGTACAGAATGTGAAGAGCTGGTTGGACGCCATAGTGACAGTATCCGACTTGCTCCTTGTCTTTTGCTGCATCATCTGCCGAATAAACTTGGATCGCCGATCACCATCTCACCAATTTTTCTTGCGTCTCTGTGAAAAGAATGACGTAATCAGTTAATAATGTTTTAAAACCGGTTTCGGTTTTTACTAAGTTCTTTTCAACTAATTCAGTCCAATTTATTAATATATTAATAGTTAATATATTTAAATCTCTCTGCAATTATTACAAAATATTAATGATTCAAAACTAATGCTGCGTTCCACTATACGCGTCGCGCGTCGCGTCACGACGCCGCGTCATGAGTTATCCAATCAAAACGTTTCATTTTACGACGTCATTTCCGACAAGATCTCGCGTCGGAAATGACGTCATAAAATGAAATGTTTTGATTGGATAACTCATGACGCGGCGTCGTGACGCGACGCGTATAGTGGGAACGCAGCCTAAGTCTATAAATGCTTCTTTTTCTATGTAATTTTTCTACCGCATTATTAATATATTCACTTACTATTGGAAAACTATTGTAAAATTTAAAACTTTATGAGATAGCTAGATTTATTTCTAAATTACTGCAACTGTCGTTGTATTAAGGCATTGGCTGCGTTCAGCCGATACTCCGCTAACCTTTGCTTAGCGAAAAGAAAAGTAGCAATTAAGTGTAATTGGTTGGATCCAAAGGTAAGAACCAATCACATTCAGTTGCTACCTTTCGCTAGGCTAGCGGAGTTTCAGCTAACCGCAGCCATTTATCGTTTCTTTCAATTTCATATCGATTACTTTATTTTTAACCTTTTTCTTACATTTCTTACATTCCGTTACTTTTTCAATTCATTATTAAACAAAATAATATTATAACTTAAATTAACATTTGAAATGTTTTTTACAAATAAATATTTGATACATTTAATAAAAGATATAGAACTGGAACAATTAAAAGCTAACATTGACATTAGAGAAAAGTACCAGATTTCTTATTCCAACTTTAATATCTAAGATATCTTAATCGAATGTTCAGTTGAGTGAAATCTTTGGATAAGATATTTGATAATGTCTCAATGTCTATATATCGTAGAATAAGGCTTGTCTCTTTCTAATGAGATAGGGGATATCCGTATCTCCTTCTCTCTCATATGCGCTTGCGTATTTTTTTGTTCGTTTTCAAAAGCTAGCCACTAGTTTAGTCACTAGAAAATGTTTTCTTTATGTAAATATCAGATCTTAGAAACTTCTCTTACCTTGAAAAGTTTCTTTTCTAATCCTTTCCATTTCTTTTTAAAGCTGATCAGTTTTTAGATAAATAATGTATATTATTATAATTATACATATATTACATTATGTCTTTGTCCCTCGTTTTTCATAATCTATAAAAAAAATAACAGAAACATTATTTCTATATAATTCTTCTGCTTTTCAAATCTATTATGCATGAAAAAATTAATCATTATATTGACAATAAACCTACTTGACTTTTTTTTCTCTCCCCTTCTAGGTTTGATACATTGTGCTTGGTGTCACTCACGTATGTATCATTCCTTTTTTCCAAGAGAGACCCTGCCAGTAGCTTTGTCTTGACTACATCATATAACACAAAGACAGGGTTGAAGGCGCTAACGCTCCTAATCTAAAAGGAGCAAAACAAAAAAAATTGTCTTGACTACATCTTCCTATTAACATATCAGTTTATAACATGTAATTGGAATTTTATAAATATTAACGTGACATGGTATAACACTCATCTTATTTGTCATTAATATACTATTAAAAATATTAAAGCAACCTGAAAGGTATCGCTGCATGGTCTCCTCCAGGTATCTCTCTCACACCTTGAGCTGCGTTTGGATTCCCCACCCGAGTGCTAAAAATCCTATAGTATGTTACGTGCACTATAGATTTTCAGCACCCAGGTGAGAGAATCGGAACGCACCCTTGGATATGATGCTCGGTGAGACGTTTAGGTGATATCCAGTGATATCCTGTGATATCTCCAACCTCTAACTGTGAGACTACATTCCAGATGCCCAATCCCTCGCTCCTCACACTCACAGTATCGCTAAGATGGACGTGCGGGGTGTAGGGTCATGACACAAGAATCTGCCCAAATTCACAATCAGATAAATAAATTAAATCGCGGCAAATAGATTTTTAATTGCGTAATTAATATTATATCGGTAATTATTTA